AAAAGTTCATGGCTGTGATGGCCACAGAAGAAAATCAGAAAGTCAGCAAATAAACTACCTAGTCATTCATCTCAAGACCCTTGACTCCCAAGGACAAATTAATTCCAAAGCAAGTAGAAAGAGGGAAATGATCATGATCAGAGCTGAATTTTAAAAAATTTAGAATTAAAAAACAATACAAAGAGCCAGGAGAGGTGGCACACGCCTGTAAATCCCAGCGGCTCTGGAGACTGAGACAAGAGGATCACAAGTTCACAGCCAGCCTCAGCAAAAGTGAGGTCCTAAGCAGCTCAGTGAGCCCCTGTCTCTAAATAAAATACAAAATAGGGCTGGGGGTGTGGCTCAGGGCTTGAGTGCCCCTGAGTTCAATTCCTGGTACCAAAAAATAATAATAATGATACGAAAGACCCATGAAATGAAGAGTCACTTGTCCCTAAACATAAACAAGATGGATGAGACCTTAGTTAACACTAAACAAAAGAAAAAGAGACAAGTCCCAAATTTTTAAAAAATAGAGATAAAAAAAGAAATTACCACAGATATTCAGAGGATCATTAGGGACTGTTTTGAAGATTTATGCTCCAATAAACTGGAAAACCTAGAAGAAATGGATCTCTTTCTAGTCAAATTTGACCTGCCAATGTTGAATCATAGAAAACCTAAACAGACCCATAACTAGTAACAAGATAGAAGCAGAAGTAAAAGGATTTCCAACAAAGAAATCCACAGGATAAATTCCCAACTGAGTTCTAGAAGACCTTTAAGAAAGAACTGATTTCAATGCTCCTCAAATTATTTTGTGAACCAGAAAGGGATGGAGCACTTCCAAATTTATTCTATAGCCAATATCACACTCCTATCAAAACCAGATAAAACACATCAAGGAAAGTAAACTATAGATGACTATTGCTCATGAACTTAGATGCAAAAGTTCTTAGTAAAATATTGGCAAATTATATTCCAGAACATATTAAGAAGAACATGTATCGTGACCAAATTTGTTTTATCCCAGGAATGCAAGGATGATTTAATACATTCAAATTAATGAATGTAATTTACCAAATCATAGAATTAAGAAAAAAATCACTTAGTCGTCTCAAGAGTTGCAGAGAGAGCCTTTGAGAAAATTCTGCACCCATTCATAATAAAATCACTGTCGGAGCCAGGTGCAGTGCCACATACCTGTACTCCCAACAGCTAGAGAGGCTGAGGCAGGAGGATCACAAACTCAAAGCCAGACTCAGCAAAAGTAAGGCACTAAGCAACTCAGGGAGACCCCGTTTCTAAACAAAATACAAAATAGGGCTGGGATGTGGGTCAGTGGTCGAGTGCCCCTGAGTCCAATCCCCAATACCCACACCCCCTCCCCGCAAAAAAAAAAAAAAAAAAAAAAAACCTGTCCCATTCAAATAAGCTGAAGAAAAAAATAGGAATAAAACTACCCAAGGTGGTGAAAGGCCTCCACAGTGAAAACCATAGGACACTGAGTAAATAAACTGAAGAAGAAGAAGAAGGTGGAGTCTTCCCATGTCGTGGAGAGCCAGAACTGATGTTGTTAAATGGCCACCACCAAAAACAATACGCAAATCCACTGCACTCCCCACCAAATTCCAGTGACTCTGTTAAACAATGAAAAAAAGTCTTAAAATGTGTTTGGAAGAATAGAAGACCCACAACAGTCAAAGCAATTAAAGCAAAAAAAGCAGTGTTAGCGGGATCACATACCTGAGCTCACCTTACACCAGAGAGCTACAGGACAGAGCCGCATGGCCCTGACATAGCACAGTCCCAGGGCCACAGGGACAGGAGAGGGGACACGGAGACAGCCACATGCTCCTAGCCATCTGGTGCTCAGCACAGGTGCCAGCCTACATGGGAGGAAAGACAGCCTGCAGCAACGGGGCTGCCACAACAGGAAACCCCAGTAGAAGAATGACACTAGGCCCTTGTCACTCACCCTGCCTCGGAATTAGACCAGAAATGTGCGACTCACAGAGGAAGACCTCTGTCTACCCTGCAGCACACAGGACGGCCTCGGCCTTCTCCGTGGAAGTTGAAGACTCGGGAACAATGTCAAGACTTAGTAAATGGATGGATCAGATTAAACAGCTTCGCAGGACAGGAAGCTATTAAATGTGAAGAGAGAACCAGGGAGTGGGGGAGACCCTTGCCAGCTGCTCTTCTGACAAAAGTTAACATCCAGAAGACATAGAGAGCTCAAAAACTTAACAGGGAAAAAAAGCCAATGAATCAGCAAATGAACCAATCATTTCTCAAAAGAAGAAATAGAAATGGCAACAAACACATGAAAACACACTCAACACCATTACCAGATAAGGAGAAGGGAATTAAAACTGCACTGAGATTCCATCCCCACCAGGCAGAATGCCCGTCATCAGGAATAGATGACACTAAGTGCTGGGGGGTTGCAGAAAAGGAGCACTCTACCCCCCAGGTGGGCTGGATCAGCACAGCCACCATGGAAACCGTGTGGAGGTTCCTCCAAAGACGAGGTGTGGACCCCCTGCACCCCAGCTGTGCCACCCTCGGTGTCTGTCCTGAAGAGTTCAGGTCGTCTTACTGCAGAGAGACACACACACCCTGTTGACAGCAGCACACCTCCCAGGAGCCAGGCTGTGGAACCAGCCCTGGTGTGATCCGTGGGTGACTGGATAAAGAGAACGCGGGGTCCACACAGTGGAGTTCTACTCACATTAAGAAGAAGGACACATGGTGTTTTCAGGAAAATGGATGAAACTAGAGACCATTGTGTAAAGTGAAATAAGACAAACTCAGAAGGTCAAGGGTGGCGTGTTTTCTCTTATAAGTGGAAGCCAGAGAGGGAAAGGAAAAGAATGGTGGGGGGTCTCCTGGAAATCAGATAGGTCAGCAGAGGAGAGGACGGGGCCAGGAGGAGGGAGGAGGGACAGAAAGGGGAAACACGGGTGGCAATGGTGAGTCACGTGCTGCGTTGTGTGCATGTGTGAATGTGGAACTGCACACCCACCATGCGTACAACGACCGTGCACCAACAGGGAATGTGGGAAACCAAGTTCTACTGCACACTGTCTTCGAGAGATTCCCTTGATCTGGTGTTTTGTTTTGTTTTGTTTATTTTTTCTTTTCTTTGTTCATTTATTTCTCAGACTGAGTCTCCCTATCTTGCCTGGCCGTCCTTGAACTCCTGGGCTCCAGCGATCCTCCCCCTCTCCCTCCCACACAGCCGGGACTGCAGGTCCTGCCACTGGGCACACCTCGGCAATCACACTTCAGCTCAGGGACACACAGAGGCTGACGGAGAGCACGGAGGAGAATGTTCTGTGCCAACAGGAACCGAGAGAGAGAGTGGGGGAAACTCCAGTCACATCAGCAAAACAGACGGCACCTCAACAGGCACCTTAAGACCCAGAGAGGGACATTAACAGTGATGAAAACGCCAACCATCACCCTCCTGGGACCATTAGGGACACACTTCCACCCACGAAGCACTCAGATGAACAAGAGAAACAGCTGGGTGCAGTGTCCACTCCTGTGGTCCCAGCACCCGGGAGGCTGAGCAGGAGGACGGCAGGTTCCAGGGCAGCCTGGGCAACTTAGTGACCCCTAAGCAACTCAGTGAGAAAAAGGTAAGAAGTGCTGGGGACGTGGCTCAGTGGTGACGCATCCCTGCGATCAATCCCTGTACCAAGATGATGATGATGATGATAATAATAATAATAATAATGATTCAGGCAGATGGGCAGGGGAAAGCTGAGAAGGGCAGTAACTGGAGATGGCCACGTCCCACTTTAATGCTGGACACCACATCCAGGCAGGACATCCAGGACCAAACAGGACAGGAGGACGGGAACCCCAGAGAGCAAGTGGGCTGCGAGAAGGAGCCCAGCCAACCTCGGGCACAGCCAGGACCCCGCAGGGCGCATCTCGGCAGGTGGCAGGACAGTCCCCACAAACCTAAGAGACCAAAGCCCCGTCAGGTGTCTGTTCAGGCCTCAGTGGTGTGAAACTAGGAACCGGTCCTGAGAGGGAACCAGAGCATCCCCAAGGCTGGAGGGGAGACCGTGCCTCCTGGAACATCCTTGGGACAAAGAGGACACTGAAAGGGGATCAGAAAGCACTTCAAGACAAACAAAATGGCAACAGGACACATCAGAACCATTGGGATGAAGCTGGGTGGAAGGTCACTGTCAGCAGGCTGGACCCTGGTTCTGCCCCAGCAGGGGGTGGGGGAGAGAGAGGAGAAGAGGGGAGGGGAGAGGTGGGGAGGGGGGCAGAGGGGGAGTGGGGGGGAGGGAGGACAGGAGAGGGAGGTGCAGAGGGAGGCTGGGCGCTGCCCTGGGCCCCAGGGGAGCTGAGCCACCCAGGCCTGGCTGGAACCTGCCACCCTCCCGGGGCCCGGAGCCCACTCCCACCCCACCTAGAGCAGGGGCCTCCTCCTCCGTGACCCCTTGTTGATCTGAGACCCAGAGGACCCTTCCATGTGGCTCCTTCTCCATTTGGGGACCTTCCGAGTCCCCTTTCTGCGGATGAGGAGAGGAGCTGCAGATGGCAGACATTAAGGGACAGTCTCTGAACTCTCAGAGCACAAGGGGCCTCCCTGGGACCACACAAGTCCAGCTCCCACCTCTCCTGGCCCAAACCCAGGCTGCCCTGCCCTGGAGGAGAAGCCGGCTGAGCCTGTCCACATGCAGGCCCTGCTGACCCCACGCTCCCAGCCGTGAGGGGCAGACAAGAGCTCCACACAGACAGCAGTGGCTGCGGGACCAGAGTCCCTGCTCAGGAGGACAGGGCAGTGGAGATGAGCTGGCACTGAGGGCAAGAGCCTGGCCCAGGAGGAGCGTTCGGCCCCAGGAGACAGGGGCTCCCCTGGGCAGGAAGGCCTCAGCTTCCTCCCCAGGGAGATGTGGGTTCCGCTGCTAAGGAGGGGGGCCGTGAAGGGGACCATGAGCAGGGGAACCCAAACCAGCTACAGCAGGAGCCCCCAGGTCCTTCCCTGGCCCCTGTGTCCCTCTGTCCCCCACACGAGCTCCAGCTGGCTCACAGCCAGGTGCTCAGGGTCTGCTGCTCTGCGTCCACCTGCAGCAGGAACCTGCACCTTCCCCAGAGCACCTCCAGGGCTGGGAGACGACTGGCCCAGCAAGGACCAGAACCCTGTGCCCAGGACGGGCTGAGGGAGCCCCGGGGAGGCCCTGGGAGGAGGACCAGCCCCGGGTCACCCTCACCTGGAAGGGGCCGGCTCAGGAGGGCACCAGGGAGTTTGTGCTGCGTCCTGGCCCTGGAGGGACGAGGACAGGTCAGGCAGACAGCAGAAGGGGTGAGGGGGCAGCACTGCTGTCTGAGCCGCCTGCAGGGGGCCCAGGCCCTCCCCACCCAGTCCTGGGGACAAGAGCCAGGCTCTGGGGGGGCAGTTCCCCTTCCTGTGAGCAGCTGATGTGACAGCCCTATGACAGGCAGAACCCGGCCTCCAAGTGGCCACGCCCTGTGTGTGTCTGTCCTCCAGCTCTCTGACCTCTCCATCTGGACCCTGGGACCACGGGGAGGACACACCATGACCCCCACCCTCACGGCCCTGCTCTGCCTGGGTGAGATGTGACGGAGGGAGGGGACACCCTGTTCTGGGAGGTCAGCCCACAGCCAGGCCCTGGCCATCAGGAGACCCAGGGCCCAGGAGGCTGTGGGGGGACAGGGCCTGCTCAGGCCTCAGGGGCTCCCCTCTCACAGGAACTCTCTTCCAGGGCTGAGTCTGGGCCCCGGGACCCGAGGGCAGGCAGGTGAGTGTCCCCAGCTGTCCAGGTCCTCCTCCTGGGGACCAGGAGCCACCCTGGGCAGTGGGTGGAGAACAGAGTTGGGGGCTGAGGCTGGGGAGCCTGGAGGGGGCTGGGCTGAGGGCTGGGATCTGAGGGGCTGTGCTGGGACCCAGCCTCTGATTCCCTTGCAGGGACCCTCCCCAAGCCCACCCTGTGGGCTGAGCCAGGCTCTGTGATCTCCTGGGGAAGGCCAGTGACCATCTGGTGTGAGGGGCCCCTGGAGGCCCAGGAGCTCCGTCTGGATAAAGAGGGAAGCTCAGTGCCCTGGGACAGACAGAGACCACTGGGGCCCAGGAACAAGGCCAAGTTCTCCATCCCATACATGACTGAGCACCGTGCAGGGAGATATCAATGCCTCTATCTCAGCCCTGCTGGGTGGTCAGAGCATAGTGACCCCCTGGAGCTGGTGGTAATGATAGGTGAGAGGACACTCAGGGGTCCCAGCCCCAGGCTCTGCCCTCAGGAAGGGGGTCTGCTCCCAGGTGTCCCTCTCACAGCCCAGCTGAGGATGGTGTGGGAGGAGGGAGCCATGAACACCTGCCTCCTTCTCTCCTAGGAACCTACAGCAAACCCAGGCTCTCAGCCCTGCCCAGCCCTGTGGTGACCTCACGAGGGAAGGTGACCCTCCAGTGTGGCTCATGGCAGGGATATGGCAGGTTTGTTCTTGCCAAGGAAGGAGGACACCACCTCACCTGGACCCTGGACTCACAGCGACACCCCAGTGGGCAGTATCAGGCCCAGTTCCCTGTGGGCCCCGTGATCCCCAGCCACAGGTGGACATTCACATGCTACGGCTATTTCAGGAGCAACCCGCAGGTGTGGTCAGGACCCAGTGACCCCCTGGAACTCCTGGTCTCAGGTGAGGAAGCTCCATCTTCCCCTGACACAGTTGGGGACATTAAGCAGGGACTTGGGGGCCTCTTCCTTAGGACGACCCCAGGTGAGAGAAAGGGGAGAGAATCAGGGTCTCCTCACCAGAGTCCCCAGGAGTGAGAGTGTGACCTGCAGGCAGGACGGGGGGAGGCAGGGGGTTGGCAGGGTCCAGCCCTCAGCCCAGGCTCCTCTTCCTCCAGGGGTGTCCAGGAAGCCCTCCCTCCTGACCCAGCAGGGCCCTGTCCTGGCCCCTGGAGAGACCCTGACCCTCCAGTGTCACTCAGACGTCACCTATGACAGATTCACTCTGTCCAAGGAGGGGGCACAGGACCTCCCCCAGCGCCCTGCCCAGCAGCCCCAGGCTGGGCTCTCTCAGGCCGACTTCCTGCTGGGCCCTGTGAGCAGCTCCCACGGGGGTCAGTACAGGTGCTACGGTGGACACAGCCTCTCCTCTGAGTGGTCAGCCCCCAGTGACCCCCTGGACATCCTGGTCTCAGGTGAGGAGCACAGAGGGTGCAGTCAGGGACCCAGCCTCTGCACAGCCCTGTTGGGGAGCCCCAGGAGGTGATGGCCAGGGTGATGTGGGGTCCCAGGAGGGAGAGAGACAGGGAGGGGCAGAGAGGACAGAGACAGGGGGACACAGGGACAGGAAGAATCAGAGACAATGAGACAGACAGAGAGCACAGGGTCCTCAGAGAGAGGCCCTGGGGAGGTCTCAGCTCAGAACAAGCTGGGGCCACCCTCACCCTCCTTCCTCTCTCTAGGACAGCCCCCTGTCACACCCTCCCTCTCAGTGCAGCCTGGTCCCACAGTGTCCTCAGGGGAGAACGTGACCCTGCTGTGTCAGTCACAGATCAAGATGGACACTTTCCTCCTGTGCAAGGAGGGGGCAGCTGATCCCCCCCTGCATCTGAGAGCAGAGTACCGAGCCCCATGGCACCAGGCAGAGTTCTCCATGAGAGCTGTGACCCCAGCCCTCGGGGGGACCTACAGGTGCTATGGCTCTCACAGCTCATCCCCCTACCTGCTGTCACGGCCCAGTGCCCCCCTGGACCTGGGGGTCTCAGGTGAGTGACCCTGACCCCATCCTCTGTGACCTCAAGGATTCCCTCAGGGCCCTGCCCAGGACAGCTCTGGGTGGGATGGGAGTGAGGGGCCCTAGGGAGGGTAGGCCAGTGGGACTCACCCCTCAGAGAGGAGGGGCCAAGGGGTCCTCCAGCCTGTGCACCCACCCACCACTGGAATCAGGAAGGTGCAGGTGGGCACAGGAGGGTCCTGGGGAGGCCAGGCAGGTGTAGGAGGATGGGCAGAGACAGTCCCCAGGGGCAGCCTGAACCCCTCACCCTCCTGTTCTCCTCATTCCCAGGACCCTCTGGGGGCCCTGCCCCTACCATCCCCAAGGCTGGTCCCTGAGGCCTCGTAGCTCACAGGGACCCAGGACTCCCCACCCCACTCTGACCTAGCTCTTCTGACTGTCCCACTGGATCTCTGCTTCCTCTTCAAACTTTTCAGAGGACAAGAATCAGGGTTTACAGTGTCAGGAAACCCGGGCCCCAGAGCTCAGGGCTGGGAGGCATGAGGGTGAGGTCCAGGCAGAGGAGACTCTGGGCCCAGCCTGGGGAGGAGCAGCCAGCTGAAGTGGGGGGCAGGCAGCCCAGCCCTCACCTCCCACCCACCCCAGGAGGCCCTGAGGACCAGCCCCTCACCCCCACGGACCCAGGACCCCAGAGTGGTGAGTGAGGGGCTCTGGTGGGAGGTGGGTCCAGGGAAGGGGCTGAGCTGAGGGGGAGCAGCCCCCTCTGGAGATGCTGACGGGGACCAGCCCTTCCCCTCTGGGCCTCAGTTTCTCCCAGGGCAGAGGAGAGGCCTGGCCCTGACCTTCAAGTGCCTCTCAGGGCTGACCTTGGCTGTGCCCTGCTGGGAGAGGGGCCTCCAGGGAAGCCTCCAGGACCTGAATCTGCAGGGCCCTGTCCCCTCTGTGCAGTGACAGTGACACTGAGCAGGGGAGGGCTCAGGGCCATCGGGGTGTCGGGCTCTTTCCCTCCAGCTCAGGGCTGAGCTCTGGTGGAGAGAAGGAGACTGGGAGTCAGACTCCCCCAGTTCAGGCCCCGCTCTGCTGCTTCCTGCTGGGTGACTGGGCAGGGGACCCCCCTCTGAGCCTCAGTTTCCTCATCTGTGCCTGGGGGGTGGGTGGCAGGGCCATGGTGCCTGAGTGACAGGGCTGGAGGTGACAGGTGGAAAGACCAGCAGGGTGGCACACAGTAGGTGCTCAGGTAAGCAGCGTGGCTCCTCGTCCACACCTGTGCCCAGGACTGGGAAGGCACCTGCCGGTTCTGGTCGGGGTCTCAGTGGCCTTCCTCCTGCTGTTCCTCCTCCTCGTCCTCCTCCTCCTCTGGCGTCACAGCAGACGCAGGAAGGCAGGTGAGTGGCACTGGGTGACCTGGCTCTCAGCAGGCGGTGGCCTCCCCATGGGCCAGGCGAGGGTGGGCTCAGGGCAGCAGCCCCAGGGAAACCTGCCCGCTGGGACAGGTCACTTGGAAACACTTCCCCAGGAAATAGAGAGGAGCAGTCCCCTGCTCGCGGCTTCTAGACCAATGTCGGCAGGTGTGCACCCCCTCTCAGGGGACAGGAGGGGGTCTTCACACCCCTGCGGTGGCCTCTAAGGGGCCAGTGCTTCCCCCTGGGGCTGAGACTGTCCCCTCATGCAGCCCAGACAGAGGCTGGCTTCCAGGGACCTGCAGGTGACACAGAGCCAACACCCAAGGACAGAGGCCAGCAGAAGAGGTGATTCCTGCTCCAGAATCAGAGCCCGTGTCCCTCACTGCCACTTCACACTCCTTTGTTCCCGCCACTGTCCCTCACTGCTACCTGACATCCCCCTGTCCCGCCCACTATCCCTCACTGCCACCTGACACCCCCTTGTCTCCCCCACTGTCCCTCACTGCCACCTGACACCCCCTTGTCTCCCCAGATCCCGTCCAGCGGCTGCCCCTGCTGCCCAGGAAGAAGCCCTCTGTGAGGGAAGGGGGCTGGGGTGGGAGGGGGAGCCCAGGTCCCAGCACCTCCCAGTGGGGGCAGGAGGGGCAGGCGGGAGGGCCTGGGGCTCAGGCTGAGTGGCTGACCCACACTGGGGACCTGGGGACATCACCACGGCTCCCTGGCTCTGTGTCCCCATCTGGGACAGGGCAGGGCCTGGGGGACTGAGAGGCCCCAGCAGCTCTGGCCAGGAGACGACCCCGTTCTGTCCCCACAGATGCTTCTGTGAAGGACCCTCAGCCTGAGGACGGGGTGGAGCTGGACAGTCGGGTGAGACCCCCCCCAGGCACCAAGAACTCCCTGTTCCCGCTCAGCCCAGCGGCCATGTCCCTGTCCTCCCTCCACTGACCATCAGGGCCCTAATGAGCCGGGAACACAGGGCCACAGGTGCCTGAAGAGCAGCTGCAGCAGGGGACGCGGCAGGTGCCAAGGTCCTGAGGCAGCAGCAGGCTCTTTCAGGAAGGGGGGAGTGGGGCTGGAGCCAGTGAGCAGGGCTGGGGGTGTGGGGTAAGAGCTCAGAGCTGCAGGAGGAGCCTCCAGGCCTCCAGGCTGGAAGCCCCTGGAGACCCCATGAGCAGTGACGTAATCTGAGATTGTTGAGGGGTCACTCTGGCCACAGTGCAAAGTGGCTGGAGGAGAGCCCGAGTGGACCTCAGGGGACTCGTCTGTCTCACTGTGTCCCTGCTGCAGGGCCCACCTGACGGAGACCCCCAGGGAGTGACACACGCCCAGGTGGAGCACTCAGGACTCAGGCGGGGTGGGAGCTCCCCTCTCCCCCCGCTGTTGGGGCAGTTCCTGGGCACAGAGGACGCAGAGGACAGACAGACGGACACTCAGGTGGGTGCTGTCCTCCCCAGGCCCCCGGCTTCCCCGAGCCAAGCACACACCCTCCCTCTCACCGTCTCCCACTCCAGGCTGCTGCATCTGAAGGTCCCCAGGACGTGACCTACGCCCAGCTGTGCAGATGGACACTCAGACGGGGGGCCGCTGCCCCTCCCTCCTCCCAGGCAGAGCAGCCCCCAGCGGAGCCCAGTGTGTACGCTGCTCTGGCCCCTGCTCACCCCGGAGCTGCCCCCAAGGACACTCACTAGTGGCCCTCAGGCAGCCAGCCACCTGACACCTCCAGAGACTCGGGAACTGAGACCGGCCTGACTCTGCATCAGAGAAAAGTGACACCCTGCATAATAAATAATAAAGCCAGAGTTTCTCAATAACCAAAGGAGTGGACGAGAAACAGAGGGACAGGAGGTCTCAACATGAATGACAAGGTTAACACTGCACACCAAGGCTGTGAAGTGAGAAAGTCAAGGACCTGAATGATCATGTTAGGAAATAGGGTTTTTGTGTTGTTTTATTTTGAGTTTTGTTGTTGTTGTTTGTTTTGTGTTCCTTTGGTACTAGGGATTGAACCCAGGGGTGCTTAACCTCCGAGCCACATCTCCAGCCCATTTTTTTAAAATTTATTTTTATTGTTGATAGACCTTTATTTTTTTTATTTATATGTGGTGCTGAGAATCGAACCCAGTGCCTCACATATGCCAGGCAAGTGTGCTACCATTGAGCCACAACCCCAGCCCCTTGTTTTTTTTATTTTAAGACAGAATCTTGATGAGTCACTGCCTCGAACTTGAGATTCTCCTGCCTCAGCCACCCAAGTCACTGGGATTACAGGCGTGTGCCACCATGCCCAGCTGTAGGAAACATGTTTTTTTAAATTAACAAACTAAGCTATTCTATCGAGAGTTTAGAAAAAAAATAACAAATCACTCCAAATGAAAATAAAGGGAAAAATAATAAGATTAGTTGCATATGTTTCAGTATGAGAAGAGCAAGATAGCAGGCAGGATGGCAGACCCTGCACACGTTTTTAAAGGCAACAAGAGAACATTATGAGCTGTTTTATGCCCACATAGAAGATGTAGATAAAATAGGCAAAATCCCCACACATACAATTTACCAAATGAACATAAAAATAAACAGAAAATCTGAATTGTCTCGTGCACATTAAATAGATTGTGTCTGTAGTTTAAGACGGTTTTCCAGTGGAAATTCGAGTTCGGGAGGCTTTGCTGGTGGTCTCTTCCAAACACTTAGGCACTTGAGAAACACGCACGTGGCCCTACCTGTGTAAGATCTGCTTCTGAGGCTAGAAAAGGAGGAAATGCAACCCCACACATGCTCTCACAGCAGGAGAAAACTGATACCAAGACCTGACAAGGAAACGAGAGAACAGGCAAGTCACAGGACCATCTCACACCCACCCATACCCGAGGCCCTAAAGGAAATCAGGTTCCAGCCGTTGCCCAGGGGCACGCGGTCACCCCAGCCACTCGGGAGGCCGAGGCAGGAGGATCCCAAGTCCAAACTCACAGAGACCCTGACTCCAAATAGAGAGTGTGAGGGTCATGGATTGGCAGTGGCGTGCCCCTGGGTCCCACCTCAGCTCAGCCATGCTGGACTCTGTGCCCTCAGGAAGGTCGATGCGCCCTGACCACATGGAGATCTCCCGTGCTTTTGGTTTTGGCTTTTGCTTTCTGTTTGGAGGACAAGAGTGGCTTGAAATTCAGAAATCAAGTGAGCAATCGGCACATTAACAGAACAGGTGAAAGTTATCATCTCCAAGATGCAGACAAGCCTGGCCCTGAAGGAGACGGGTCCGTAAGAACTAGACTCAGCACAGCTGCAGGGGGCTTCCCTCATGGAGCTCAAAGAGCTAAGGTGGTTGGTGGACCAGGTTTGCTTTCTTTTGTCTTTTAAATCCAGGCCTCACAGGTGCTAGGCAACGGCCTGCCCCAGCACCTCACTCCCAACCCTTCTGTTCTGAGGCAGGGTCCTGCTGAGTTGCCCAGGCTGGCCGGGAAGTCCTGGGCTCAGGGAATCCTCCTGCCTCAGCCTCCTGAGCAGCGGAGCCCACAGGGGCTCCCCACCCGCCGGCTCCACTCCTAAATTTCCACATTTCCCTTTTGCCGTAGGACATTTCTCTGACGTTGTGTCTGTTGGGAAGATACTTTCTTAGTTTTTGTTTGTCTAAGAATTACTTTATTTTGCTTTCAATCCTTAAGAATTTTTCTGCTGGATACAGAATTCTTCTCTCGCACAACTTTAAGTCTGTTTCTCCAGTAGAACATGGTGCATGGGAGCAGGATACAGAACGCTCCAGGGTGGACGCTCCCCGCGGCCTTCCTCCCTTGGTCCATGGTGGATACTCGGGTGGTGCTTGCTTTTCTCCCGCTGTGACTAGTGACACTGTGACATCTGTGCGCGACTGTTTGTGTGAAATCTCTTCTCAGTTGCTCTGGATGCCGCCCAGGAGCACAGGTGCTGGAAAGTATGTAATTCTGTCCCACTCTCAGAGGACCCACAAGCCAGGACGTGGGCCACACCCAGGATCCCTGATATGCTTCTTGTCCCAAACAGTGTCCCCAGTCTCCAGTACTGCATCCCATAGCTGTGACTTTGAATACTTTTGGAAGCTGGGCACAGTGGCCCATGCCTGTAACCCTGCTACTTGGGAGGTGGAGGCAGGAGGATCACAAGTTCAAGGCCAGCCTCTGCAATTTGGGCAAATCTGTCTTAAAAAAATTAAAAAAGGCTGGGGTTGGAGCTGGGGGGCAGAGCACTCAGTATGCTCAAGGCCTGGGTGCAGACGGGTTATGATGAATAAACAAACAGAACACAACTGCTTCTGGCCCTGTCCTCCTGGGAAGACGCTGCAGTCCTGGGAATGGCCCCCGTCAGAGGGAAAGAACGGAGCCCTGCCCTGGAGCTGAGGGCAGCGGGTAGGCAGTGGAGACACATGCCCGCCGCTCTTCCCGATGAGGACCATCTGCCACCTTGGGTGCTGACGGCTGGCCACAGCCACTGGCCCTGCGGCTTGGGGGCTGCCCTCATGGGGACTTCCCTTGGTCACTTCAGCCACCCAGCCGATCTGAGTCCAAAAGCTGATTCTGACAGTTTTGCCCCCCAGCGTGTCCCTGGGGGGGGGACGGGGCCCTGGGCCTCCTTCCCCGTGCTCCAGGGCTCCCCACGGTCCTGACAGCTCTCGCCCGCTCTCCAGTGGGGCGTTTCAGGAGCCAGCTGACTTCAAAGCCTTCGCCATCGTCTGTCTCCTCTCATTTCCGCCAGGCTCCAGTCAGTCCACCTGGTGCTGCCGTCCACCCTGCCCCACTGGGGCGTCCGCTTTGTTTTGGGGCCGGGAATAAACCCAGAGCCACTTCCCGGCCCTTTTAATTTTTTGAGTCAGGGTCCCGTTACGTTTCTGAAGTTGCCAAGGGTCTCGCTCAGGTGCTGAGGCTGGCTTTGAACGGAGGATCCTCCCGGCCTCAGTCTGGAGCCTCTGGGATTACAGGCGTGCGCCACCATGCCTGGCCTTGGCCTCCTCTTAAAACTCGGGAGAGCTGGGTTGGGGACCTGGTGAGTCCCTGCGCCCTGTTCCAAGTCCTGTCCCTGAGCTGTTTTGTCCAGGCCTCTGCTCCCTCCGGGACTTCCTGGCCTTCATTTTCCAGTTCCCTGATTTCCTACCAACCATCTCCCACCACAGCGGAGGCCAGGCGCTGAGGCCCCAGTCCCCAGCCTCCAGCAGGCGTGGGTTCAGTTGCCGGCTTCACAGACGAGGGGCAAATCAGGCACCAGGACACTCAGCTTGGGCCTCTGCTGGCTCCCTGGGTCCCCTCTCCTCGCCACTCCCCCTTCCCCTCTGGGCTGTGGCCACACACCCAGCCTGCATCCTGCACCTCTCCGGGTTAGCAGCAGGGATGGGTGTGGAGCAGGGCTCCCGTCGTCACTGTCACCATCCCAGTGCCTCCCGTCCATGGTCCACTGGAGACAGAGCCATGCCCCAGTCGCCCAGTCCCTCATGGCAAACAGAGAGCAGAGGTCACAGCCCTTGGGAACAAGCGGGAAAAGGAGGCTGGTGAGGGGAAGTTCCCGCTCAAGGCCCCCAGGAAATGTCACAACCTCATCACGTCTTCAGTGGCCAATTGGCTGCGCCTGGTGGCCAATTAACCAGCGCCTGGGGACTCAAGGTATAAGACGGCGGTTCTGCCCAGGGGAGGAGGGGGCTGCAGAGGGCGAGATGACCCCAGGAGGGAAGGGACTTGAGACACTCAGGGAAGACAGCAGAGCGCATGGAGGATCAGAGCCACTCACCGGGCCAGGGGGCAGTCAGACCTGCCTCTGAGGGTCCCCAAGCCTCCTCTCCTGGGGTCATCGTCCTGGGACACCTACGGCTGCTCCTGCCACCCACCCACAGAGGGGAGCCACCTCAGCCTGGGGCTTTGTCTCCCTGCAGAGGTTGACTCTAGACAGTGCTGCCCGGAGTCTTCCTACCCACGTCCCCTGGCCGCAGCCCAGCCCAGGCCCTGGAGAAGGCTCCAGACGCCCTGTCCACGCCAGCACACCAGCCTCTCCTGGCCCCCTCCAGGCTCTGGTCCTGGCCCGGCCCCACCTTGCACACCCCCCTGGCACTCAAGGCTGTTGATGCTCAGGCCAGAGATGCTCTCAACTGCTCCACACGACAGTCCCCCTCCTCTGGTCAAGCCCCGACACGTGACCGCCCAGTCACACAGCCGTGAATCACACACGCCTGAGCCAACCTGAGCCCCGAGGGTCCTTTCCAAAGGCCCGGCCACCAGGGCGACAGTAGCTCCTCTCCTTCCTCTGCGTGGTCAACCTGTCTGTGTCGTCGGTGGCAGGCCTACAGAGCCCGGTCCAGGTGGGCCATGTTGGCTATCGCTGTGGTCCCCACATGGAGCCCCCCCACACTCCTGGGCGTGGTGGTGCCTCCCAGAAACAGAGCCTTGTTCCTCCTGCTCCTGCTTAGACTCTGCCTGAGCCCTTCGTCCTGAGGGCCATACCCTTCAAGATACACTGGACCCGAGACCCTCACCCGGGGCCCCCAGTGCACGCGGTTCGCAGAGCAGCTCAAGCTGGCCTCCCACTGCTCCGCCGGCCTCCTCACCTGCCGCTTGCCAAAACTGTCGCTGCTTATCAAATGTCCAGGTGGTTGTGGTGTCTGCCTTCTGGTGGGCGGCAGGCCTGCCCTGCTCTGAATGACCACCCAAGTCCCTCCATGTGTAAAGCACTAGTTTGCCACGAGTACAGGTGCCAGGTCGGATGACTCCACTCCTCGCTGTACAAGTAAACAGCCACCATCTGCCTGGCACCCTGAAGGCACACGCTGGCCAGTCACCTGTAAGTGCCACCTTATCAGGGACACCCAAGTCAAGCAGCACCTGGACACACGGACATGCGAACCATATCAGGAACACCAGACATGGGAACTTTTCAACCTCACCAGACAGGACCCCTCACTCGAGGCCCCAAAAGGGGGACACCCCCCCACCCACAACTGAACCTTGTCCCCATCATCTGGTCACTCATCAAGAGCCTTGCCAGGAAACTCCCCACAGAGAGGAACCTCTCTCATTTCCTGTCCCCACAGGGCTTCCGCACAGTGTGGTTTCTTCTGCTGGGATGACCACACAGAGATGACCAAGCTCACACTGAGACTGGAACTGCAGTCAGTCCAGATCCTCTGCTCAGACATCCCGCTGGGACTGGCTCCTTAAAATCCTTCTCTGACCTCCGCCAGTGACCAGCGACCCTGACTCTGCACCATCTCTGCTGTGCAACCCTGCAGCCGCTCTGACCCTTTCTTCCTCTGTGACCTATTGATACGTCGTGGTGTGAAGACTGAAGCAGGCCAGGGACCCCCCACCCAGAAGACCCTGCCATAACTAAGCTTCCCCAGAGACCTTCATAAATTCTGTCTAGCAGACCTGCTCTTAGACTGTCAGCAAGAATTCCTAGGACAGTTTTCAGGTGGAGGGAGTGTTTGCAGAGACAGAGTGTGATGAGGGACCCACAGCCTCCAGCCTGGGTCTGGGTCGACCCAGAGGCCTCTGCACTGCACCTCAGAGGACGAGAGTCAGGTCCTGGGAGCCAGCCGGCGGGAAGAAAGGGGAGAGGGACTCGCCTCCCCAGACAGAGAGTGTCCTTGGCCTCAGCTGGGTGCCCAGAAAATGAACTTGTGAGTTTCTACAGATTGTGAGCCTCTGAGCTCCTCCCCTTACACACTGGGTATAAAGTTCTAGAATTTTCTGAACTCAGGGTTCCAAGGCGTGATTCGATGGAGGCAAAAAGCCATGCTCTTGAACCTGGCTGCAGCCAGTAAGCTGCTTCCCGCTGTTCCTCGGGTCCAGCCTCCTCTGTCTCCCTTCAGTGTGTGACTTGGGGTTCAGATAACAGAAATTAAGATTAAAATCAAAGCACCTGTGAATGCCCGGCTGTGACACCAGGGGACCCCGAGTGTTCATGAAGTGCCACTGCTGAAGGAGGTGTCGCCTGCCAATTCACTGTTGCTCCATAAAAAGGGACACAGTGGAGACACAGACGTGGGTCTTCCTTGTTAATACACAGCACACTCACGACACCGTCCACCTTGGCTCTCGCGTCCAGGAAGACCACCTGCCTCACTGGCGGCTCCTGCCGAGTAACACCCAGGGTCACCCCAGGGGACTGGGCAGTGCAAAATGACCACACAAGAGACAGAGATGCCTTTTTCTTTGGGCTCCTGTGACGGCTCCTCTGACCTTAAGGGTCCGCAGAGAGAGAGAGAGAGAGAGAGAGAGAAAGCGCATGCTGACCCCTTTTATTGAGGAGAAGCCATTCAAATGAGTCCAGGGGTCAGGTTTCAAGGGGCTGAGTCTAGCTTTGGGATGTCTGCTGTCAGGTTCACTGCCATCTAGGAAGGCCACACCCAAGGGCAGAGTAAGAGAAGGGGACACACAAAGGGCGTTTCCATGGAACATTCTATCCCAAACAGGGCAAGGGGGTAATATCACAAAGGAACAGGTGAGCGTAGCTGGACCCCTGGGGCTGCAGGAAGGCAAGACACATTTGCTGGACCCTAAAGATCGGGGCTACCATCTCTGGTTACCTAGGCAACCAGATCACAAGGTGACCGACAATGCCACACCAATCAGAAGGGGAGACAAACGCTGGTCACCTACTAGGTTGGCCTCCCTCAGGCTCCGGCCCCGGGGCCTGCCTGTGGGTGGTGACCACTCAATTGGCCTAGATGCCCAGCACAGGAAGACAGTCTGCACCCACAGAAGCTCAGGAGAGGGAGGTGCCTGGCCTCAGGCACACCTTGTCTAGACTTGGAGTCTGACTGGACGGCGCCCCGAGGTCTGGCCCTCTCTGACCCTGTGCAGACTCCCTGGGCGGGGGCAAGATCGCTGAGTCAGGCCAGGCAGCAGAGCACAGGGGCCCACTGGGCTCACATCTGGCCTGAAGGTCCCAGAGCCTCTGCCTCCTCAGCCCTGTCCTCCAGGCACAGCCCAGTGAGGCCTCAGGGCAGGACAGCTTCCTCCAGGGCAGCGGCCCCAGGGCAGGACAGCTTCCTCCAGGGCAGCGGCCCCAGGGCAGGACAGCTTCCTCCAGGGCAGCGGCCCCAGGGCAGGACAGCTTCCTCCAGGGCAGCGGCCCCAGGGCAGGACAGCTTCCTCCAGGGCAGCGGCTGGGGAGGAAACTCCAGTTGCAACACAGAGCTGAGAGATGCCCTCTGCCAAGGGACCTCAGGCGAGGGCTCTGCCCCAAGGACCATGGGAGGCAGAGCCAAGACCCCCGCCCTCACCGCCCTCCTCTGCCTGGATGAGCTCTGGGGACAGAGATGACCCTTCCTGGGTGCTGGTCCCTGAGAGCCTTGGGACTCAGGTCTGGGGGCGGCTGCACTCTCGGGGAGGCAAGGCACTCAGCCCAGCTCTGAGCCCCAAGCTCAGAGAACCAGAGCAGGCAGAGGGAGGGTGTGCGGTCACTCTTGAGCAGGGGGCGCGCTGTGCCCTGGGAGGTCCTGAGGCCACCTGGGTTCACATGGGGACAGTCTCACAGGGTACGCTCTTCCAGGGCTGTGTCCTGGCCTGTGGGCCAAGACAAAGGTAGGTGAGTCTCAGACCTCCTGGTTCAGCCTAATGAACCTCCGATTGGTTTAGGAAAGGGGAGTCCATGGGCCTGGGGTGCTGACCAGTCTGGAAGGGGCCTTGGGCTGACCAGGCAGACAGGGAGACATCCCTGAACCCCAGGTCTGATTCCTTCTCAGGAACCCACCCCTAAACCCCTCATCTGGGCTGCCCCTGGCCCCATGGTGGCCGCAGGGAACCCTGTGACCATCTGGTGTCAGGGGTCTCGGCAGGCAGACACCTACCGTCTGTTCAAAGCTGGGGCCTCTTCAGACCACAACCCCTGGGCCCACCGGGACTCCAGACAAGCCCAGCTTCCCCCTGGGCTCCGCAGGACTGGACAGCTGTGCCTACCTCATCTCAGGCAGCTGGTCCAATCAGAGTGACCCCCTGCAGCTGGTGGTGACAGGTAAGAAGGAGGAGCAGCCCCTTCCCAGCGTGGGCTCCGGGCCCACTTTCATGTGTTCTCCCCTCCCCCTCAGCTGACCCAGGCCCCTGGTGGCGCTGGGAGGGAAGGTGTCCCTCCTGTGCAGCTCAGGGAAAGGGGGAGAATGTGACCCTGCAGTGTCTTTCTGAGGTCTGCCTTGACACCTTCCACCTGTGCAAGGAGGGGTCAGCTGCTCCTCCCCAGCATGGCCTGTGTCATCTCCGGCCAGCTTCACACTGAATGCTGTGACCTTGGTCCACGGGGGCACCTACAGGTGCTATGGCTCACACAGCGCCACCCCCTACCTGCTGTCACAGCCCAGGGAACCCCTAGAGCTCGGGGTACCAGGTGAGAGTCTCCATTCTTTCTGTGTCCTCATGGCCAGTTCCAGGCTGTCCCCAGGATATCCCAGTGAGAAGATGGGGCAGCTCCCTCCAGGGCCTCCCTTCCAATCCTCCCCTTAGAGCCTCACCCCTGAAGCCCACCAGGGACTTGGTGGGGAGAGGGTGGCCGGCAAGACTCAGGGCAGACAGAAGAGAAAGGCCCTCCCCATTTCCCACCAGTCTCACAGGCCCAGGGGGCCCTCACCAGGGGGACAAAGCAGGAAGGAAGCAGCAGAGGCTTCCACCCAGGAGGGCCAAGACCTCCCTCTGGGGCACAGGAGCCGGTGGGGACCCCAGGCCCTGGGGCTCAGGGCTGGGAGGCATGAGGGGGAGGTCCAGGCAGAGGTGACACTGGGCCCAGCCTGGGGAGGAGCAGCCAGCTGAAGTGGGGAGCAGGCAGCCCAGCCCTCACCTCCCACCCACCCCAGGAGGCCCTGAGGACCAGCCCCTCAGCCCCACGGACCCAGGACCCCAGAGTGGTGAGTGAGGGGCTCTGGTGGGAGGTGGGTCCAGGGCAGGGGCTGAGCTGAGGGGGGAGCAGCCCCCTCTGGAGATGCTGATGGGGACCAGCCCCTCCCCTCTGGGCCTCAGTTTCTCCCAGGGCAGAGGAGAGGCCTGGCCCTGACCTTCAAGTGCCTCTCAGGGCTGACCTTGGCTGTGCCCTGCTGGGAGAGGGGCCTCCAGGGAAGCCTCCAGGACCTGAATCTGCAGGGCTCTGTCCCCTCTGTGCAGTGACAGTGACACTGAGCAGGGGAGGGGCTCAGGGCCATCCCTCCAGCTCAGGGCTGAGCTCTGGTGGAGAGAAGGAGACTGGGAGTCAGACTCCCCCAGTTCAGGCCCCGCTCTGCTGCTTCCTGCTGGGTGACTGGGCAGGGGACCCCTCCCTGAGCCTCAGTTTCCTCATCTGTGCCTGGGGAGTGGGTGGCAGTGCCATGATGCCTGAGTGACAGGGCTGGAGGTGACAGGTGGAAAGACCAGCAGGCTGGCACACAGTGGGTGCTCAGGTAAGCAGCGTGGCTCCTGGTTCACAATGTCCCCGTGTCCAGGACTGGGAAGATCTGAAGGGAAGGCACCTGCAGGTTCTGCTGAGTCTCAGTGGCCTTCCTCCTGTTGCTCCTCCTCCTTCTCCAACGCTGTTGGCAGAGCCAACAGAGGAAGGCAGGTGAGTGGGAGCGGGCTCCCCGTGGGCCCAGCAAGGGTGGGCTCAGTGTAGCAGCCCCAGAGAAACCTGCCTGCTGGGAACAGGTGAGCTTGGAAACACTTTTGCATAATGTCCTAGTGAGAAAATGTAGAAAGAAACAATGTGCGTACGGAAATGTTTAAAGTGACTTTGGCCTTTTCAGATCTATGAGAACATGTGCAGTTGTGGGTCTTTCACTATTTTAGTTAGCTTTCTGTGTGGTACTAGGGATTGAATCCAGGGGTGCTCTATCACTGAGCTACATCCCCAGCCCTTTTTACTTTGAGACAGGGTTTCCCTGAGTTGCTGAGTCTGGCCTTGAACTGGCAATCCTCCTGCTTCAGCCTCCCAAGTAGCTGGGATGACAGGCCTGTGCCACTGAGCCTGGCTCATATTTTTACAACTGCCTGGTCTTGAATTCTACAAGGAGATAGAGGGTATTATAATGTTTCCTCTGTAGGATGCACTGCAGCCATAGGGTGGCTGCTGAGGTCCAGGAGGAGAACCTGTGTAAGAGGGTTGTGCTGCGGGTGGGACAATGGGGCTGGCAAGCACTAGGGAGGTGGGTGTTGGTTGGAATGTTCTAGGCTTAGAGAAGACGAATCTGATACTGTGTGGCCTTGGCCAAGTCAGAACCACCCTGGGCCTTTGTAGAGTGAGATCTCAGGGTATCTTGAAAAGATGAACGTCCCACTCTGTGCACCCACCCCCACCCCAGATGCTGCTAAGACACACAGCCTGAGGACAGACAGCTGGACAGTCTCCTGTGGTCCTCATGGGGCATCCACATCCTCCCTGCTCAAACATCAAACCCAGCAGGCCCCTCCCCCAGCGCCAGTTCCCTGTAGCGTCCAGAGCACACTGGTGTTGACACAGCACCCCCTCAGGGTCCCACTGCTGGTGTTTCTGGTCCCTGAGGAGCTGAGCACCCCACCAGGCTGGCAGGGATGAAGGTGTGGCTGAAGAGCCTGACCTGCACAGAGGAGCCACGCAGGGGACACTGGGACCTGAGCCCCACACCCTGGACCTGCAGAGGCCCAAGGGCATCCCAGTCAGCTCTGCCCTGGTCTCTGGCTTGTTCTACTTCACTGTCCCATAGTTGTAGGAAACCAGACTTGGGCCCAACAAGAGGTGATGGTGGCTCCTACCCACCCCAGGCTCCTCTATCTGCCCTGGCAAGGGAGCCTGATCCCTGGCTGGGGCACCTGAGGCTGTTGCTCCTCTTAAGTGGACAGGTCCACTCCATTTCCTACTCCCAGTCCTGACCTCTGCAAGCACCAGGTGTCCAACCACCCCCACGCCAGCTGCCTGTGTCCCTCCTCCCTTCATCACAAGACCCCAAGCCCACCACCCAAGAGCAGAAGCTGGAGAGGAGGACCAGTCTTCCTGCCCAAGCCCCGGGCTGCCCCACCCCAAGCACACCTTCGCTCCCACTGTCCCCACTCCAGGCCACTGCATCTGAAGCCCACCACATGTGACCTACGCCCAGCTGTGCAGCCCATCCCTCTAGCAGACCTCTGCTGCCTCTCACCAGGAGTCAGGACAGGCCCTAGATGAAACCAGTGTGTATGCTGCCCTGGCTCTCCACTGACAAAGGACAGACCTCACACTCCAGACTGCCAGGACCCTGGGGGCATGGGAGCCATGTCAGACTCAGCTAATGGACCCTGGCCAGGATAAGGACCAAATGGACAAGAGCCTGGGAGAGGCATAAACTGCTTCCAGGAAGCTTCAGCTGCGCTAGAATACCTGAGTGACCTGGTTACCCTCTACATCTCGGCCACTCAAGTGGAAAACCACCTAGCCCAAGAAGCTGCAGTGCTGTCGGACTCTGTGCAGGATTCACAGTGGACTGACCCAGGGACCAGAGCTGGGCCCTGAAATCCCCAAAGGACCAGACTGCAGCATGCAAAGTGGCTGCAGGCTTTGACCCACCTCCCAGCCCAACACAGCTTCTCTGCAAGGCAGGAAAAGGGAAGCCTGTCACCTGACTATGAATGTAGGAGAAACTCTACAGGCAGTTCCTCAAATGCCCCTGTCCAAAGGTCACCAGCCACTTCCCACTTATTAAACCCACATGTTGAGACAAACGGGGACCCTCCCCATCACCAACCACCCTGTAGCAATCTTTCCATGATCAGATGAAGGCTCTCTAGGGTTCAGCTCTTGGCCAGGCTGAGTGGGACAAGCCCTGACCTGCACTTGCTTCTCTGCCTGCAAATGACTTTCCTGTCCCCATTTGCACATGCCTGGCTTTACTCAGCAACTTGGTCTCCCCCCCAATTATAAAAGTGACTATGCACATTCTGCTCACTACCCTGTAGCCCACCCTGAGGTCAAGACCCACCACACCTGGGAGGTGCTCACAAGCTGACCCACCAGGATTAGCCTGGACCTGGTGGTATCTTCTAGCCTGACAACACTTGCACGCCCCAGCTCCAGGAAGCCTGGCCTGGGACCCAGCTGAGTTCTGCCCACCACAGAAGGATGTGCAGAGGGAGGGTGCAAGGACACACTTATAAAACACCAACTCCAAAGTATTAATCCTGCTTTATTACCTGCCTGGAAAACAATCCTCCAGCCCAGGGGGAGGGCCTAATCCTCCTCCTCATCATCACCAGCCCCGGCCCCACCCTGGCCCTTCTTGGCATTCTTCCTCTTCACGCGGCCTGGGCGGCCACCCCCATATGGAGACCGCAGGGAGAAGTCAATGTGCTTCTGGGAGTCCAGGCGGACAATGAAGGACGGGATGTTCACCACCTGCTTGCGGACCCTGAAAGGAGAAAGGCGGTCAAGGGGCCTGGGCGGACCAGTCCCCCAACCAAAACACCACTCTGCTCTGGGATTGTGCTGTCCCATGTGTGTGCTGGGGGCACTTCTCAGCTTTGGACCCCTGTACTGGGTCAGCTTTAGGCCATCGGGACACCACACCAATGCTTTGGGTGAGTTTATCCTTCACTTCACAGAAGAGGAGAGAAATCAAGAAACCCACACAAGACCCCAGAGGGGGAGGGCTGGGGCTGTGGCTCAGTGGTAGAGTGCTCGCCTCACATGTGTGAGACCCTGGGTTTGATCCTCAGCATCACATAAAAATAAATAAGTTAAATAAAGGTATTGTGTCCAACTAGAACTAAAAATATTAAAAAAAAAAAAAAACAAAAAACAAAACCCAGAGGACTGGGAATGTCACTTAGTGGCTAAGTGCCCTGGGTTCAATCCTAGGTACGGGGTAGGGAGGAGAACTACACCTAGCCCTCAACTCAATCCCACTTTGCCCTGTCTCTGCATCAGCTGGCAGGATGGCAGCTGATGGACTCCTGCGGTCCTGGTATCTGCACCAAACCTCTGGAACAGGCTCCAGTGAGCCCAGCGGAACTGAGCCCACCCAGTTGCACCCAATCCTCACCATCCAGGGGCACCAAGAGCTGTTACCTGTCCAGCTGCCTGCATGCCTGGCAGAGGCCTTCGCAAGGTGTACGGCTTTAGCCGCAGTGACCCTTGCGCTGACAGGGGCTACAGGGAACAAGGTTGTCCCCAGATCCCCCACGAGATGTTTGCAGGGTGTGAATCCATACCCTCACACCTTTGTCAGCTCCAATGGCTGCACAGGAGACAGGGACAGCAGGCTTAGAGAGGGCAACCATCAAAGGGAATAGGGAGATTCAGGGGTTCAGCAGTTGCCATACCTGAT